AACAACTCAGACCGAGATATTAGACAAGTCTCACGTGTCGACTGAGACCGTTGTGTTCGACCAGTGTCACGCATCGGTTCAGACCGAAATATTGGACTCGTGTGATGTGTCGACTGAGACCGATGTGTTTGACCAATGTCACGCATCGGCTCAGACCGAAAAATTGAACCCGTGTCATGTGTCAGCTCAGACCGATGTGCTGGATTTAGACCAGTGTCACGTGTCGAGCCAAACTGAACTTGGATATGACCCTTTACTGATCGTCAACGAAAGTGCAGTTTCTCCCGGAGATGTTCCGATGTGCGAAAAAATCCACAGTAGACCGGCGATGGCATCAAACAGAAATGCTCATGAGTTATTGTCCTTTCCAAATGGTGGACCAGAGGCTGGTGACACGGACGACGGAACAACCGTATTGAACGTAGACCGTATGAGTTCGAGGACAGAACTCACAAAAGAAATTACAATGACGGCCAAACAACGGATGCGGTATTAATGTTTTTATGATAATACTAAACAAATAACCGATAATAATATCAACGTGTGCCCTCTCACCAGTAAAATCAAAGTAGAGAAGAACATCGCGTTGAAAGTGAACACGGATGCCGTATCTGCGCTACAAGAATTGTGTATGGCTCGATGGTGGAAAATACCGGAGTATCATTCATGCGTTAAAATAGCTGATAACCATTTTCAAATAGAATGCTCTTTAAGAGGGTACACGGTCAAAGGTACGGTCAGCTTTCTATGTGTTTTCACTTGGCGTTACGTGTAATCACAAATCGTTATGTAAAAATATGTGCTTATACAGGCGAAGGATGGTCGAAAAAAGAGGCTAAACGTCAGGCAGCCTACAATGTGTATATGGTCGTTAAAAATCAAGATTAGCTTCGTTGTATTGAAATTGAACGTGAGATGAGCGAGGATGTGATTTTTCGGCTGCATCCGAATTGGGTCCCGAATTATTTTAGGTACACTCAGAAAAATATCTTTCAATGTTTTAATGAAATGGAATCATTATTTTGAAGTTCAACGATTTACCTAGAATTAATACTGAATTATATTAAATTAATAAAATTTTCTTTAAAATAAATACATATTCAATACATTAATATCCATAATTTAAAGATGACTAAATCAAATTAACGAAAAAAAAATGTTTGAAATAATGAAATCTATAGATTCGTTTCAAGCATACATCCTACTTAAATGTAAAAAAAATATAATTAATTTAAAGAATAGTTTGATAGGTTTGAATACCTCTAAGGCTCTATGTTTTAATGATAATAAAACATTATTTCTAATAAATGTTTTATTCTAGATTAATACTAAATTTATGTAAAATAATGATTTTTTCTTTCAACCAATAACCAAATATATCATTAGTTTAATTAAATGAGTATTTATTTGTGAGCACTAGATTTGTCTTAAAATCAATACAATTACGTCTAGTGATGGGAACAATCGAGAAAAAATAATCTCGATTACTATTCGCTCGATTATTTTAATCGAGTGAATTACTCGATTACTATAATATCTCGATTACTAATCTCTCGATTATCGAAATCACTCGATTATTCCCATCACTAGAATATGGTACAATATGTACAACAGAAAGCGAAAAAATAACAAACACGATCACAGATATAATGTATATCTGTGAATGATATATTAATATGGATATAGCTATTAAACGACTGTAATACCTCTTATCTGAAGCGATAAAATAAAACGAAATAACACAGTATATTGCCTGTTGTATGTACATATAATTAGTAACTAATTCAATAACATGCAGGTTGTCACAGACAATTTTTCAAATGATTAATATGATTTTATCTTTAAATAAATATTGTTAAAATCATATGTTTCTAATAATATATCTATAACCATAGAAAAGCTGCAAGCCCATATTATTTTTATGCGGGGCCCTGGACTATAGCCCGTTGTATATTTAATAAATGGTTTAAGACAATAATTGTCTTGTAAAATCAGATGAAATATCATCTGGATACAAATTTATAAAATCATATGATGACACTGTTATGTTCTATTTAGCACATAATTATTTCAATATCTTATCATAATTATTCCTTAATTGATAGATTTGACAAATTGATTCATAAGTGTAGAAGCCCAGTGGCGTATACTTAAATTTTGTATGAGGGGGGGGGATTAGTTGCAAACAAATTATTATGAAAGGAAAATTTCTAAACCTAAGTACCTGCACATTTAAATAATAAACAGGGGCGTCATTTCAACTTTTAAAAGGGTGGAACAACGGATTAAATTTGCCGACTTCATAATATTTAAAAAATTATGGTTACCTATGTGTTTAAATATTTAATATTTATGGACGATAGACTATCAATAAAATATTTTTTTGGGAAAAAAACATGTAAGGATTAGTAATGAATAATGATGTCACGATGATAAACAAAGAACATGAAACGTTTCAATTTACCTTATTAAATAATAACATTAAAGATAGTCATTTATTTATTTACTTATCCTATCTAAAGATAACTTATAAAAAAAAATTAAAAAAATTATAATAAAATAAATACTTATAATTTTATTATTTGTATATTTGATTCTTTACAGAACTTATTTATAAAAACATAAAATTGTATCTCAAATATAATGCACCGTAGTTTGGGGTGAATAGAAACGATTTTAACGGTAATCTATAGATTATGAGCTCAATTTTTATGTTATATATATCATGATAACTATTTTATTTCGCGTAATAACGATTGTCATAAACTGGGGAGGAGCCAGTGTTTCCCAACTTTTAATAAACTGTGAACGTGTATTTAAAAGAGAATATTATCTGATTTCCAAGTACAAAATAATAAATAAAAATTTACTATTTACCGATTTTAGCATTTGATCATCGACAAAAAATTGCCGACTTTTTAAAATTTCTTAGAGTGGGGCATTAGTCATATTCTGCCCCCCCCTACAAATGACGCCCCTGATAATAAATAATAAAAGATATATATATATATATCTTAAGGTGTATGACCGTAGTAGGTGAATATTGACAGTCACCGGTGTATGTTGACATTCAGCAAAAATCGTAGCAAATGTTGACAAAATGGTCTTAACGCGTTCATACACCGGTGATTATTGACATTTACAATCAGATATATATATATATATATATATATATATATATTGAATGTGTCAAAATAATAATTTACAATAAATCCTTGCAATATTTTTTGTTTCCTTATAATTTCCTTACATTAAGAACACTATTTTATACAATTTTAAAAAGGTCTATGGGGGGGATCTGACCCCCACATCACCCCTTGTATACGCCCCTGTAGAAGCCATTTTACTGGAAAAATTAATCCCTTGCTTAAAAGGCCGTATCTGGGAGTAGTCCAGGGTGTCTGGACCCCTCCCCTAGAAATTTCTACAATGTTTTAAGAATGTTTAAAATAATTATTCATTTTTAATATCAACATAAATATTTTCAGTCAAAAATGACATTTCATTTTTTTTCTAATAAATTTATAATTTTTTCAAGTTAAATGCATATTTTTTGATTTTTCGTGCATATTTTAGAGTTTTAAGCGTTTATTTAAGAGCTAATAAGTAACATTTTTAGTGCTAAAACTTCCGAGCCCTGATTATTACGTACATTTGATGCTAACATTTCTATAAGCTCGTCTTGAATTTTTCAACTTAAGTATGTTATGTGTTTTTTTTTGAATCATTTAATAAATGATCAATACTTCCGATTGAAACATTTTCAATTTGCTCCAATTTAACAGTAGATGTAAAAAGAAGCAGGAACGTACCCAGAAATTTTTCGGGGTGGGGGTCCAAAATTTTAATTTATCTGTTCTCTAATTATAATTATAGTTTAACTCAATACCAACAAATTACTGTTAATATACTATAGTATGGTTTATAATTTATAGGTAATATAATATAATCAATATTTGTAATAATAAATAATATTTGTATATTGAAGATAATGAGAAATTAAAATATACTGTATACTATTATTATACTATTTACTATTAAACCGTTGAGTATATAAAAATTTTAATGCTTGGGGTCTGGACTTGAACTCCCCCCCCCCTTGGTTATGTACTTGGAGAGAAGTTTCTCAGAATATAAGAATTTACTATCCTATTAGATAATCGCCGATCATTCAATTTAGAAAATATCAAGAATGCCTACCTTAATTGTTCATTGTAATACATTTCATTAGGTTTAATTTTTATTTTTTTAGGATAATGACGTTTTATATTAAATTAAAAATTTTAGGGTATTTTTAAAGTATTAAAAACTAAAAAGGAATCTTTTTTTCTTAATAAAAATTATTTTACTTTTTTTACAAATACAATCATTTTATTTTATTATTTGACAATTTTCAGGTAATTTTTAATTATAATTTTTCATCATTTTTAGATCATTTATTCATACTTTTTTAAGCCATTTTTAAAGGTTTTTTAGTTCATCAAGTTTCGAGTCCTAGTTATTACTTATTATTTATATTGTCAAGTCTTATTGTAATGGGATTCAAAAAGGGTAAAAGAAAATAAATAAAATATATTATAGCTATAGAATCACGTATATCAATTATAATTTAAATAAAATACATTAGAAAAATGTATGGAAAATGTATAGAACCGACTTAATCATCGATCTCTACATATAAGTTACATCTACAGTGGTACATCACTAAAGGTATTTCTATGAACAGATTCATCTGTAATCAGTTCTTTCAATAAATTGTCTCTTCAATCTGAATTACCACAGTGGAAAAATTAAACGATAAGAAACTACTACTTTTTAATTCTGGTGATTTTGATGCCCGGTAATGATTCTGGTCGTAAAATCAATTGCGAAACTACTACAATGTCGTCCATGCTGCCTAATGTTTCGATTTTCATTTGTCTAATAACAGCCGAAACTACTGTTTTCATCATGTTTACAGCATATTTCTGTCCTATGAACAAAGATTTGTAAAATAAAAATAAAATAAATTATTTATTAAAATAAAACCCATCGATTACCTACCGATACAATTTCTTGGTCCAGCGCTAAACGGTATATAGGCATAAGGATGCCTACTACAATTATTTTCGGGTAAAAACCTATCGGGGTCAAAAGCTAATGGATTTGGAAATAATTTTTCTTCCCGGTGGAGTAAATAAGGTATCACTCCAATTACTGCCTGTGATGGAATCTGATTTTCTTCTTCAGATGTGAGAAGATTTTCCAATAACAAATAATATTGAAAAATAAATAAATTCGGTTAGGTTATAAAATAAACGTATATATGTATTTATTAATAATAAATAACTTACTAATAGTAAGATGCTGTCTTAGCTTTCTAGTGATAGCAGGAACACTTGGATATAGTCTTAAAGTTTCTTTTATAACTCTATCTAAATATATCATTGATCTAAGATCTTCTATTGTAGCCTCTCTTTCACTATCTCCAAAAATTGAGTACAATTCTTCCCTTACAGAGTTCTAAAATTAAAATTTTTTATACACACACAGACTTACATATTTTTACAAATAAGTATATGTCTTGAAAGCAGGCCCATAGCCAGACCAAATCATCAGATGGGACAAACCAAATTTTAGGAAGAAATTAGAATAAAAAGAACATAGTGTATAACATACCACTACATAGTATCTATGCAATTTTAATACTTGTAAAGGAGTAACTATTAGGTCCAGGAGGGCCATGCCTCCTTGTCCCCACCCTCCATAGGTACGGGCTTGTTTGAAAATTACAACATTTTTATTAATTTACTTGTATATCTTGATGTAATCCCAAAAGAATTAATGTCAATGTCATAGTAATTGACGAAGTATCGTGTCCTTCAAAAAGAAAAGTGTCTACTTGTTCTCTAATATCCAAATCAGTCATTACTTCTGGGTTTTGCATTGACAATCCAATTAAAAGCTCAAGAAATGATTGCACCCTTTTTTTCCCTAAAATAAAATTAATAAATAATTAATTAATTACCACGAGCGAGTAATATTTTTTTTGCATATATTTCATACGATATATATATATATATATAAATGTATGTATAATTATGTAAATAACTGTTTTTTTCGGAATAAAATATGTATGTTCTTATAATGTATGATAAAAGAGAGGTACCTAATAATTATTTTATAAAAAAAATACCAGTAAAGAGCGATCCCGCAAAATTCGTGGAATCGTGTACCTACATTTTCATAACCATTCATAAACGTAAACGATTCAGAAAATTTCGTATATATATAAATATATACTTGTATATGTATGATTCCATATGATCTCAAATGCAGCGTTGCCGTTTATAAATGCTTGTTAAAACATATAGACCAGGGGATGGCCACTAACCTTAACTTTGGGAGCCGCAAATTTGTAAAGCTAATTCGAGGCGAGCAACATTGTAAGGTGATGTTTATAAAATGAAGACATTATAGCTACACATACTAAGAGCACCGCCGCCGTTCCAATCTATACCTAATAATGACTAATGATAACAAAATCGACGGCAGTAAAAATACTATCTAATGTTTCTAACGATTCTAACAACATTTTATATTTATTAATTTTAGTCTAAATTTGGTTCAAGATGATTGATGGTAATAATGATTGAAAAAAAAAAAATATAAAAATGTTAATTTAATTATTTTGTTGCATGTGATATTTAAATGTTATGTTTATTGTTTATTGAAACAACATACTTTAACCATAGAAATAAAAATACAAAAACTGATCAGTATCACAATACGAATATTAATTGAAAAATGTAAAAAAAAAAATATTATTAATATTAAAATAAATAATAATAGTAGTGTTATATTGTAGAATACATTATATATATTACATATATTATATATTTATATTGTATAATAGGCTGTATGACATAAGTGTCAAAAGGTACAAAAATGACCTATTATTTGCGCCAAAATCTGTAGGATATAAGCGCTAAAATTAATATTATATATAAGTAGGTTCCGACGTAGGGAAAGTGGCGTGCCCATCGCCCAGTGTACTTAGTAAGTACACTGCAATAGCCCTATTCTGACCTTAATTGGTTGGAGTACACTGGTCCTCCAGGTTGGGGGTTTAGCGTAGGGCTAACAACCCTACCTTAGAAAAAAAAATATTGTTCAGGAACTAACAACAAACTTGCCTCGGAACTGTGAAGCTTTGGAAAATAAGAAATGAAAATGGAAAAATGGATTATCCTTTAAAACATGGAACGTTCGCACACTTTTTAAACCTGGAGCAGTACAATGCTTAGTTGAGGAGATAGAAAAATATAAACTAGGAGTGGTAACCCTACAAGAGATAAGGTGGGATGGTAATGGAACGATAGAGATTCAGGATACAACGATTTTCTACGGCGAATGTAATAAAGATCGTCAATTTGGAACGGGCTTCGCAATACATAAAAACTTAGTACATTCAGTAAGAGAATTCAAAAGCATTAATCCAAGAATATCAGTATTAACGATAGAAGCACTATATTTCAACATCTCATTCGTGAATGGGCATACACCCACGGAAGAAAGGCCGCAAGAGGAGAAGGATGAGTTCTATGATAACCTGGAACACACTAAACGAAATTCCACGTAATAGAATTAGAATAGTTTTAGGGGACTTCAATGCCAAACAAGGGAAGGAGATAATACTTCGGTCAACGGTTGGTATCCATAGCCTTCACGATGTAACTAATGAGAATGGATTCAGGCTTATAGATTTTGCAAGTGGTGGAGGGCTTATTGTAAAGAGTACGATGTTCCCGCATAAAGATATTTATAAGGGTACATGAAAGGCACCAAATGGTAGATATGTCAGTTAGATAGACCATGTTCTGATAAATACTAGGTTCAAAAATTGTATACATGATGTTAAAACAGTAAGAGGTGCTGACTGTGACTCAGACCATTATCTAGTTAAAGGAAAGCTGAGAGTTAAACTCAAGAAACTAGTACATAGCAAAGGAACGTTAGTGGATAGATTTGATGTGAATAAGTTAAAGAACACCAATATATGTGAATTTTTCAAGCAACAATTACATGAAACAATGAACAGCTTAAGCTTAAACATAAATCAAGAAGAGACAATTGATACCAAATGAAAAATGTTAAAGGATACTATAAAAACGGTTACAGACATGGTAATAGGAAAACAAAAGAGGACAAGGAAACCGTAGTTCAACAACCCCTGTAAGGAAGCATTTAATAGAAGAAAATAAGCCAGGACTCAATTGCTCAACGATCCTACTAATAGAGAGAAAGCTATGGTATACAAAAAACGCCAAAAAGAAGCTAGTAATGTATTTAGATATGAAAAACGGAAATGTACAAAAGATGTACTAGAAGAAGCTGAGTGTGAACATAGAGGAAATAAGACTAGACAACTATACCAGAAGATAAATTCAATTAGAGGAAAATACAAAAAACATAATAAGTTCCTAAAAAATGACGATGGTTCTCTAGTAACAGAACAGGACAAAGTACTTGAAAAATGGAAACACTATTTTGGACGACTACTTAACTGCGAAAACCCAGTAGAGACATTTGCATGGATGCCAACCTAATGACACTGAATGCCCGCCTCCAAGCAGAGATGAAATATTACAACAACTCGACAGGCTAAAAAACTATAAAACTCCTGGGGAGGACGGAATCCAAGGAGAAGTGCTAAAAAACCTAGATGAATTAACGATAAATAAAATACATAGTATTATAGAGAGCGTTTGACATGAAGAAAGACTTCCTTATGACTGGGGCATCTGCCCTATTCATAAAAAAAATGATCCACAAGAGTGTAGTAATTATAGGGGTATAGCATTACTAGATACAACGTACAAAGTTCTAGCATATTGTATACTGGATAGAGTAAGACCTATAGCAGAGAATTTACTAGGTGACTACCAGGGAGGATTTAGGCCCAATAGATCCACAACAGATCAGATTTTCGTTGTAAGACAGATCCTCCAAAAAAGCTGGGAATATAACAAGGATGTACACATATTGTTTGTAGACTTTAAAAAAGCTTATGATTCTATTCATAGGGAAAGCTTAGTGAATATACTCAAAGAATTCAGATTTCCAAGTAAAATCGTAAACCTCATTGGAGCTACCATCAGCCAGACAGATATAAAAGTCAAGATAGCAAACACAATATCAAAGCCCGTGGGAGGGTCAACAGGTCTCCGACAAGGCGATGCACTATCTCCAGTGATGTTTAACTTGGTACTGGAAAAAATAGTTCGAGAAATGAATATATCGGAAGGAATTGAGCTTGGTCAGGTGAAAATAGGGCTCATAGCATACGCAGACGATATTGCTCTCTTAGGAGATAATATTGAGGTGATAAAAAGTCTGGGAAAGAAACTTATCAAGACCGCGGAGAAAGTAGGCTTAACTATTAATGATGATAAAACAGAATATTTGGTTGTCAATCGAAGTAACAGAAATTATAGACTAGAACAACATATTGAGCTAGAAGAACATAAATTTAAGAATGTATCACAATTCAAATATCTAGGATCGATTATCACCCAAGATAATGAACTCAAGACAGAGGTTTCGTCAAGAATACAATTAGCTAACAAGGGATATTATGGATTAGAAAAAATAATAAAATCGAGGACACTCTCTAAAAATTTAAAAATAAGAATGTATATGACATTATTACGACCTATTGTCCTGTATGGCTCTGAGACGTGGGCCTTGAGGAAAGCTGAAGAACAGAGACTAGGGGTTTTCGAGAGAAAAGTTTTAAGAAAAATTTATGGACCGGTCTTTGACAGTGAAACAAATGAATGGAGAAAGTTACATAACGATGAACTCAAAAGACAGTTTCAGAGACCTGACATAGTTAAGGAGATCACAAAAAGAAGACTCAGTTGGGGGGGGGCATGCCTGGCGTAAGCAAGGATCCCTAGTTAGACAGGTAATAGAGAATGAACCAATAGGTAAAAGACCACTAGGAAGACCCAGACTGAGGTGGGAAGACTGTATTAAAAAGGACTTAAAAATGATAGATCCAGGAATCAGATGGAGAGAAGCTGCAGAGGATAGGGACAGATGGCAAGATTTGTATTTAGCGGTATGGTCTTAAAGGCCGAAACCAAGAAGAAGAAGAAGAAGATATAAGTAGGTAGTTAGGTATTTAAAAATTCCTATATCTTATAAAAATTATATTACATATTATATTAATGTAATTATGTCGATAATAAATTATAATATAAGATTATATAATATTATAATGTATAAATTGGTTAATTTTTCAATACCACTCTTTTCACGTATTCTATGTGACAATCTATTGTAATCAGATAATATATTAATTGATGATTAAGATTAAGCGTTAGGAGTTACAATATAGTTCTAAATTTAATATCTAATATTTAACCGTGGTTTACAGGTACCAACGATTTTGGCGCTTTTGTACGATATAACTTTTTTTTCTTATCTCGTTTTGGCGCTTATGTCTTTTACTGGTATATTACAACGAGAATCTCGTATTAAGATCCAAACAACTGAATGTAATAATTCATCGTCGGTGTGCATAAATACAAAAGTGATTACCAGTGCTACAACTACAAAATAGGAGGCCTGTGTGCGGTAATTATATTGGGCCACTTCCTTGAATTTATTTTTGTTCAGTTTAAGTATCAATTTTTTTAGGTTTTAAGACACGTTTTACATCAGTTAGTGTTTGATATATATATATATATATATATATATATATATATATATATATCAAACTAAATACCTATAACCAGTGGTGTATTGGAGGGTATACGGCGTATACTCAATACGCTATTTTTATCCATGGCGTATAGCTTATAAGAAATTGATGATACGCGGGTATACAGTCGTATCTAGCGTAAGCTTGTAATTTGACAAATATAAATAATAAAACATTTGGTTATATTTATGACGTGATTTGGTATCGGATATATTATTATTTTTTTATTTTTTTTTTTATGAAAAATTCAAATTTGTTTTCATTTAACAAGTTTTCATTAGAAAAGTGGGATCCCAAAGACTATGTGAATTCGTGGATGATAAATCATAGATCAGCAGAAGACAATAGAAGTAAATTATGTCACCCAGATGTAGATCCGAATAGTGAAAACAAAACAAGTCTTTGGAGAATACTAACTTAAAAAAATAAGTAACTATGATATATTTTTCTTTGATTACATTTTTTTGTCAATGTGACAGTAATAAACATGTATATATGTAAAGAAAATCATGAACTTTTCAAACGCAAAAGCAAGAATAAAACCATTTTGTTAGATAAGTTACAAATTTGTTGAATTTTTGGGGGGCTATAATAATTCAATGTAAAATAACCCGCAAGGGCTTTGCCCCTACACCTCCTTCCCATATATAAGTAAATATTGTTACCATTAGAAATGTAGATATGTTTAAATTGTATTAAAAAAACTCTAAATAACGTATATTTAAAAATAATTAATATTTTATTTTAATGACAAATAACTATTTGTATTAGCAAAGATACTTAAAATATCATCGCTTTTTATATTTTTCGATATATCTTTTTTAATATATAGTATTGAAAGATTGCTGAACCTATCTTGAACCAAAAATGTCCTTAGCCGAGTTTTTATTTTTATCATTACACTGAAACTTCTTTCGCAAGTAGCCAAACTATATAATTGGTATTGTTAATGCTATTGTAAATAGTTTTATATTATTTCTTATTTTACGATTTTCAAAAAAAATGAACAGATAATTATAAATAAATTACAAAAACAATGAATAAAATTTCTAACAAAGTTTCGATTTTGGGAGGGCTATTAAAATATTTGGGGAGTCTAAGCTCCCCCAAGCCCCCCTGATATCCGCTTATGTGACTGAATAGTTCAAAATTATGGAAAACACGAGTTCAGGTTTTAACAATCGTGCAACACTGCATTTGAAATCATGCAGAATCGTATGTAGCCAAAAATACTGTGATTATGTAATTTTATCTGAGAAAGTCTCTTGGAACTTTCCTTAGTGCTTTTGATAATTACACCGATATCGTTTTTATACAATATAAGCTATAACAATTTATATAAATTAATGTTATTCTACTAAACATTGTATCTATTAAACATAACTGTACATTATTATAATTTTCATTTCCAAATAAATGTATTGCTTTGTTTTGATTTCTAAAGTACATATACAATTCATTTGGTATATTAATTTAAAAACAATTTATATGTACGTAAAGTATGTTAATATATCCATTATTAAATTATTAATTACCTAAACTTATTTCTTCCATTACCAATGCATTATCAAGTTTTTCTCGTTTTTTTTTTATAACCTACAATTAAAAACAAATTTAAGATTAGTTGATGATACATCAATATTATGTTTAATATTATATTATATGTAAATATTATCACTGACATTTTCGGTAAATTCGTGTAGAATTTTAAGTGATTTACGAAAGTTTCTTCCGTTTTTACACATTTTAAAAATATAATTATTCCAAAGCCAAAATTTAAAAATTCGTTGAACCATAATATCAGTTACTCTAAAATAAGTGTTACAAATAAATTAACTATAGTAAAAATCCAAATTATTATTATCATGTAGAAATATCATACGTATATATAGCTTGAACATATTCAACAGATTTCCCCTCTTGAGACCGTAATTCAGTACCCATTATTGTTTCTAAAATATAAAAAAAACAATATAGTCAATATAGTTACAGTGCAATAATTTATATAAAATAACACTTCAAAGTGGACACCTTTAAATTTCGAAATAAATACTCTTGGGTAATATAATAAAAAAATTATTTTTGATTTTTTCAATGGTAGACGTCTTTAAATTTTCTATGAATTTCCAATAATTTAGAGGTTTAATTTTCACTTAAATGTGTATATATATATATATCTATATATTACACTTATTATAAACTTACCGCAAACCATGTCTAAAGCACAAAGAGTCATATGTGGATAAATAGACACTTGTTGATCGTTTCCGATCATCTTTTCAAGTTTTCTCATTAAACATTGAGCATGTTTATTAAATGTGGGAATATATGTTTCCAGTATTTGAAAATGAAATGTATTTGTAAGCAGTTTCCTTCTCGAGTGCCATTTTAAACCTATATAATTATAAATTAATATAATTTATATCGAATTAACAGTAAAACATCTGATAATTACTTCCACTTGTTAGAAGACCTTTATTCAACCATGGGTGAAGCATTGTATACTCCGGACCTTTGTTTATATGCTGTGAGCTTGATAGCAGAGCCTGAAATGTACATTTTATTAATTTAGTTAGTAAGTTATAAAACTGAACGATAATGATATGATTATTTTTTTGTATCTATATTTAAACATCAAAAACCAAAAACAATTTTAAATAAAAATATGCAAATACTTTTATATCATCAGGATCGTTTAATAAGACGTACGAATGGCCCAATATATTTAAATAAACCACTGGTCCATACTGTTTTAGGATTTTACCAAAGTATGGAAGAAGATCTAAAAAAAAAAAAAATTGAATGATTTAATATTAAAATTAAAATTAAAAAGGACAAAACTCTTGGGTGAGATTCAGAATTGAGTGAATGATATTGCTACATTTGTTTTTGTTCAGTTTTGCTTCGTTCATTACACCTACATAAGAAAATATTTAAAAACGATTCAAGTCATAACAAATTCTATTAATAAAATATTATTTTAATTTGTACATTTTATACTTATTATTCATACCTCAATTCTCCAAAGAGACAAATGACATCACGTTTATGATCAATGATTAAATCATTACTACCATATTTTTGCTTTGCCAATAGACTAGGACGAACCCAATATCTCTTTTTGGAAGCTTTTTTTACTTCTAAACTTAAAATTACACTAGCAGATGCAGCAATCACCACGTCATTCTGTACCACATTTTGTACAAAACTAAAATGTTTATCAAATATGTTGCTTTTGTGTGGACGTGCTTGTTTTTAAATTTTGTTGGTAATATTTAAAGAAACCTTTTGTCACCGATATTAGTGAAAAAGTCGACGACAAATTTTTCTTGGTCTGGACGCGACATTAAATTCAAGATTTTGTGTTAGACTTTTTTTTTAAAAAAAAAAAAAAAAATAAATAACAATTACTGGAACGTTGAAAAAAAAATTTACAAGATGACATTTTGATAAAATAGGATATTTCAAAGAATTTCCATTAGAGAATATTAGTTATTTAATTAAAGACATTTTATAGTTTTGAAATATTTCAAAGATGTTATTAAGCTATTCAATGCTCTTGAAATGTTTGATTTTGCCAAATTTTAGATGGTTTCTAGGGAAAGTTAAATTTTAGTTAAATATTGATTTTTTTTTTTTTTTTTAATTAGAGAATACATAATCTGTAATTTTTTTAATTTTTTTTTTACAATAAGCGTATGTTCGGGATGTTTGTTTATTTTTTTTTTTTTTTTGACATGATTAATGGTCGAAAAAAGAATCTACCCAGCGATGACACTTATACTTTATACTTGCTTAGTTATTAAAAACATAATTATGGTTCATGAGGTCTCTACATCACTGGCGAGCTAGTCGTCTAGGAGGATTTCCAGGAATATCATTTGAATTTAGTTGTCTGATTAGAGGTTTTTGGTGTTTGGCTAAGTGGAACCGAAATCGTTTATACAGTATGTCCCATAAGTCTCGTACCACCCTTAATATCTCCACGGGAAATCAATATATTAAACGCGGTTTTTTTTACAATACTTAGTGTGGAAATTTTGATTGAATGGCATAGAATTTAATTTTTTTTTATTAAAAAATTCAAAAATACAAAAAAAAAATGTTTTATGCATTTGAGAATTTTCAATCTTTAAGATAGCCATTTTCTTAAACATAATTTTTAAAACAGTTAAAAAAAAAATATTAAAATTAAATAAAAATTGACCAAGTTAGAGCAAGTTATATTTTTGAATAATTATAACAAAAAAATTAATTGTTTCACATTTCAATAATCCAGTGCTTTGGCAACCTAGGTCACCCAATTTAACACCAATATATTTTTTTTTAGTGGGTTATTTGAAAAATCTTGTGTATTCGCCGTGTTTATTGCCTGATCTCCGTAATAAAATTGAATAAAATATTCAAAATATTTTACCTGAGAAATAGAAAATGTTAAAAACGCTTGGGTCCTAAAACATCAGCTCTGTGTTATGAATAATGAAAGATACTTCAAAAATTCTTAAATGCATGTTAAATGCAATTTTTTTTTATTTTTGAATTTTTTTAAAAAAAAACATTGAATTTTATACCATTCAATCAGAATTTCCATACTAAGTTTTGTAAAAAAAAAACCGCGTTTAAATATATTGATTTCCCATGGAGATATTAAGAGTGATATCGGACTTATGGGACATGCTGTAGATAATATTAACAATATTAAATTTTTGTTGGTTTTTGCCATTTTCGAAGAAAACTAAATCATTTGAGTCACTTTGTGTGCGATTATATTCCTGTGCTATTCTGTTATTATTTATAATTAAAGGTGGTACAGTTTTCTTTTTCTTTTTATCGGGGCTATTAATTGTTGGTGCCATTTTAATATGATATGATTCTTAATTAGGGGAATTTAGATAAAAAAGAGTTGGGCCTGGCAATCGGTTGCCACGATGTTGCGTTACTGGTTAGGTGCGTATCTGAATAACTTACCAAAACGACAATGAATTATAGATTTATTCCTAATTAATTATTTTACTTTTTTAAGTACCGAAGGAGCCGAAGTCCTTAAGATGCGGTTTCTGTTATTTTCTAATATACGTAAATACAGAGGTTCGTTTGGTATACAATTTAATCTAATCACTTTGTATATAGTAGAGAGATAAATTAAAATTTTCGGATTTGCAAGAAACGTGCTCACGTGACGACCGTTCAACCGACAATAAAAAAAATAATAAAGTATAAAAATAATAAATTAGGTATATTTTTTTTATAAAAATATACGTGAGTAAATTCCTTTGTGCATCAATGTTTTCACTCCGATATCAGATATTGAAAAATGTAGGCAGGTACTTTTTTTAAAAAAAAATTATTTCTACATCATATTAAATAAAGCTGAATAAAAGATTTTTTTTTAATTTCATTAATTAATTAAAGCTTCTTTTCTTGTATATCGGGCCTAATCATTGGACCTCGAGTCAATTATTTCAGGGAGTAAAGATTCCATGTAAAATGTTGTAGCATATGGTTTCATTTTCGATGTCCAAAATTCGAATCTTTGAATATTTTGTCTACTATAAAACCTGAGGTAAATACAGAAAGCAATACATTTAAATTCGAACATATAAATAATTATATATTAGATTACTGCTATGTAATAGCCAGCTGGCTATGTATACAAAATCAATATCTTATAACCCATAGCGAGTGTTATCAACGAGTATAAAACAAGTACGAAATATTCATCGAACGTTCATTGTTAATAAGACTATACAAACGGAAACACTGTGAACAGGAACAGAATAAAAAATAAAAACGATCAAGAAACGAGGAATTCTCGACACCATCACGTAGGCGTTGTATCGTCGATCACACTCAAGTACTACAGTTGATGATACCACGTCAAAGAATCGCAATGATGAACTGTTCAGAGAGAATTTTGACCACCAATGACAACAGCCAAAAGTGCAGGCTGTTCATGGGCAACCTGCCCAAGGTGAAAACGGAAAAAGAGATATTCAACGAAGTAAACCGCATAACGCGCGGTCATTTGGTGCGTGTGATCACGTATAAGAACTTCGACGACCCTTCGATGCACCGGGGCTTCTGCTTCCTGGACTACGGATCGGTGGCCACGGCTTCGGACGCCAAGCGGGCACTGTCGAAGCAGAAGGTGTTCGGGTGCAAGACGTTCGTGGACTGGGCGGACCCGGAACCGCAGGTGGACGCGAACACGATGGCCACGGTCCGCACACTGTTCGTCAGGCAATACGGTAGCGTGCTGGACGAACGCATGCTGACCAAGAAGTTTGGCCGGTACGGGGTCGTGGAGCGCGTGAAGAAATTGAAGAACTACGCGTTCGTGCACTTTGAGCGGCGAAGGGATGCGCAGTTGGCCATGGATGCGCTGGATTGTTCCAGGGACGTGGTTTCGGGCGTGTGCCTCGACGTCTCGTGGGCCAAGCCGCCGGTGGACAAACAAACGCGACAGCGGATGTTGCGTAACCGGGAACGCCGGGTACGGAAATCTGCGGTCGCGGCCATGGGTCAACCGGCTTGCTACGCCCCGCGGCCACCGTGCCGCGCTCCCGGAGACAAAGGACGCATTGGCCCCCCTCCCGCCCTCGCCGCCGTGAAAGACACCAATTACGACCATCGCGGTTACGCCTTCGGACCGCTGCAATCGTGCAACCGATGCACACCCTCCTCCACAGTGTGCATTCCTGTGGCCAGGGCCACGTCCGACAAACGCAACAGTGACAGTGCACGCCGGTTCCGCTTCAACTTCGCGCGCACAGACCAGTGCAGAGCGGTTCGTCATGACGATGGTGATTGGAAGAAGGGTTGCATGAAACGTTGGACCAGAAACTGTTGAACTTGTCCATGAGAATGTTCATGAGCTACCCCAAAAACCATTGACGTCACCATAGTGTTCTCTAGCCGTTTACGATGTTTAAAAGATTCAATCTTTGTTTTATGTTAAAAAAATCCGCATTTTACGAAAAATAAAAATAAAAATGAAAAAAAAGTTGTTTCAAATAATTTAATCAACATGATGCTAGTGTTCAAACAATTGAAACACGAAGTATTGCGTTTTCAAACGTATTTTTAAGAGGCCACTGATCGATATCATGGCACCCGAATACAAAAAGCGCATCGGATCACAACGTGCGTAAACGATGTTTACGTGAAATCTGATTAGACATAATATTTCATTAAAGCGCGAGTCACGACTAGGATTACAATTCTAAGAGAAACCTTACTCCTACTCGAAACCGTTAACTTAAAACAACCAATGTAGGGCTTCGCACTTCAGTGGCGTATATAGGGAGGGCCTAGTGAGCTACAACCCCCTCGCCCTGAATTTATGTTTCAAAAAACTTAAAAATGATTTTAAATGTTTGTTATATTTATTAATGATGCTTTATGCTTATTTAAAATTTGCGTCCGACGGCAAATATAACCATGTTCCGCGTGGTCTGTAAAATTATTTTTGTTTTCTTGATATTCTTTTTTTTTATTTTGACTACCCAGAGATTAAATGACAAAAACCATTTAGTAATATCAAATATGTAATAAGTTATAGCATTGATTATAAATGGTATTTATAATTAATGGTAATAGCCTTAGATAATATTCAAATTTAAAAGGTCTTATGGCAGAATATATGAAACATGTAATATATGTTTCATATATTCTGTGGTTTTATTGTATGATTAGATGCTATTTTTAAATTAGTTTGAATTAAATAAATTAAAATAAATAAATTAAATAATAAAATAAATTAAATTAGTTTGAAATAAATTGATTATAATACACAATAATACATGGAAAAATAATCAATACCAATATTTATGTTGATAATCAAGTGATGTGCCCAATAAAAAAAATTCCAAAATATGCTGTAGATACTTTGAAAATTTGTCAGTCTGATTTATTTCCTATATATTATTAAAAATGTTATCTATCTTAACAATAACTACTGCATCAGTTGAGAGGAGCTTTTCAATTCTTAGGAGATTAAAAACCTACGTACGAAATCAATGCGGAAACATCCGATTAACTAGATTAGCCTTAATGACCATCCATCATAATATAGTACTTAACATTGATGATATTCTAAATAATTTTCGAACAAGATATTTAGTTTACTTTTTGATTTCGAAAAAATTACTTATCGTTGACGAGACAAAGTGGCGATTATAAATGTTGTTATCGACAAAAAATATTTAAAGATATTAAGGGGAAAATAATATTTCCCTGTATCGTATTTCTATTTGGCTATTTATATTTTATAATATCGCAATACGGCCACACCCCATATCCCAGTATCTCACGTACTCACACACTACAACACTATTCGTTATTGATCGTTAAAATTAATTTTTTAAGTTAGTCAATACTCACTACTCACTAGAAATTAATGTATTTTTTTAGTAATGTTTTAAGAATTAAGAATCTGACAACAACAAAGCTTAAAAAAATGTATTTAAAAGAATTTGATATTATTTGTATTTGTATTTAAATACATATTTATTAACAAAAGTATTTAAATAAATATTTTATTACTTTTTAATTGAAGTATTTAAATACCTATTCAAAATACTTTCAAAAATTATTTTTAATAACATTGCTTATTTTTATTATAATTATGATTATCGCTATTATTTTAATACGATCGGTTGTTTTTGTTGAGTAAATAAATAATAAAAATAATTTATAGTACATTATTAATTGATAATTGGATTTTATCGTTTTTGGGGTGTGTTTTGCAGGCGGACTTGGTGCAAATGATCGTTGTACCGGACCCAACGGCCGTTTCAGACCAGTGCACCGTGTTTCGGATAGCCGTGCTGGACACGGAGATTGTCAAAACCAAAATAAGGTCAGTACATTATTTTAATATATTTGTACAATAAATAGCGTGTGTACTCGAAAAAAATTAGCAGGTATTTAAATATTCATTAGATCCCGTAGAGGCGAAACCAGTGTGATTATAATCGCCATCATTATTTTAATATTGCCTACGGCCGAGGACTTATTTGTTTTTCGATGGCACAATAAGTATTATGAATGGTGACGACCAAGTGGAGTCCGGTTTAAAACGCGTTTTCATTCCCCGGGGTTATCGAATAGTCGCTATTTCGTCTAAGCGCAGTTGAAAATTGAAATATTATATACTTTTCATGCGGTGTATGGTTGTAACGAACATATTTAAATGTATCGTACGGGCGTATTTATTACGCACGCCAATTAAGCAAAAGAAATATTTCCAGGGGGAAAAAAACATTTGAGATCATTATGACTACGGATTTCGCAATGTTTTATTGACTACGATGATTATGTCCCTCAATCATTACTTATTGAGGAGATAAAAATAAAATGCTTGGAAAGTTATCCGCAACGACTTGAACTTGAATTTGAACTCAAACTCCCATGTTAATAAAATAAACAAGTCAAATTTTCAACAGACTTCTAGGAGTTTTCGAGAGATACGTAAAAAAAAAATCTAATGACCAACTCGTTGTTTTCGTAGCAAAATAATGATTCGCATACAATTGTTTTAATTTTTGTCTACTGGCTCTCGTCTTCAGAAAGTCTTTGAACATATGTATATATATATAGTCACCATTTACTAATGAATAATGAGTAAAATTCGAGAACATTGGGAATTCACACTTTAGTCAAGCCAATAACAACAGACGATAATGTGCGAACAACAAACGGTAGAAATTTCATTTAAATTCATTTCAATTCAAATTTGATATTATAATGAATTATAATTATATGTTTCCTCGGATATACATACATACATATATATATACTCGTATATATATATTAATACATCTAATTAGTTACGTTATATATTAATAAAATCGTAAGTGCCATTTTTTTCTAAAAATAACCCATATTAAAAATGTATTTTATTAGAAATATATGAAATCTTACAAAGTTAAATTTTTTTCTTCTTTTAAATGGTTACTTTAGTTTTTCGAAGCAAATTTGTTTCTGTCTGAAAAAAATAAATGTAATCGTTATAAAATAATGATTTTCTTTTTGTTTTTGAATTAATAATAAAGTAAAAAATATTAAATTTGAAGATAAATTTTATTATAAATCATAATTTGACATTGTATTCGGCTGTACCAGAGAGCTTTCTCTGTAGTTATTTTAGTTTAATTTATTTATATATACTTGTATATACCTAACCTGTGTATATAAATTAAAATGTTTAAGTTCTTATATTTTAAGTTGATATTAATAATAAGAGAAGTAACTGATAATCTCTTTGCTCTTCACTTTTAAAATTTACACGCAGAGATTGTAAATCGTACCCATCCGTTAGTACTAAATGAAAACTAATTAATAAAATCAAGCTGATTCGAAAATTTTCATTTATATTTGTAATCTTATAATTTTTACGCCGTCTAGACGCAGAAAAACGTGTAAAATAATTACTCGAATACTTTTAAACACTTGTTATTTTAAAGCTAAATGTAAACTTTTAATCTTCAAAGTGTAAACCGTGATTCAGTGTCGTACCTAAAAACACTATTTTCGAGATGTCAAGCTGTTGTATTTGATTTCATAGTCACGAGGGTTTTCGCTACACTATTGTAAGGAAAACGTATATGAAAAACGTAACCTTTCCACACCGTTAAAATTATTTAAGTACTAAACACTAAACGAAATAATATATTATATTAATATAAATTAATTGTAATTTATTGGTAGATGATATCGAACAATCAAAAATAATTATATTCCTGGATGGACATTAAGTAGGCACAACAACGTATGTGTAATGTAGTGATATACAAATTAATATGTATACGAATAAAAGTATAATAATGATATGTGATTTTGCCACGAATAAAAATCACGATTTCAACGGTTATGTAGTTTTTATAAATTTAAAACGTTTGGTTTAACTGTTGCTGGTGCTAATCTATAAAAACTGTGGTTTTTAACGCCCCCAAACGCTGTTCTAGTCACACCACCGGGTCATCCTACCGAAAGAGTTTTCAATTACGAACTCGATACTTTGTTATATTTAAAGCTGCGATTTTTTACGTACTCTAGAATATTTGTATTTGTATTCAATTTATCAATAAAATAATATAATAACTGTTGTATTTTACATTAAAGTTATTCGTAACAATTACAAATTAATATTGCATTTTTCTTAACGATTTGACAATGTTTTTGATTACGTTATATTTGTACGATGCATAAATGTACTGATATTAATACAAAACGAAAATTGTCCAGACAAATTGTAGTTTTTTCATCATAATATACGAGGTTGTGGATATTTTTTCCATGCATATGTGCATTTATACTAGAAACATACGCATTGGTTACGCGCAAATTCACGTATTTTAAATTGACATCGCTCAAGTGTTATTTTAAGTTAAGGTAAACATGCAACTAGTGTAATAAATCAGAAAAATAGTCATATACAGAGTGCGGAAAATCGCACAGTGCAAATTTTAAAGCTTGGTACTTATCAGTGTGGTGGGATTATAAACCTTGGAGGGGTCTAATTTTTTCGGATTGTCCTTGCCGTTTTCAATCGTGACCATAGTTTGGTCCGATAAATATCGGGGCTTTGCCTTCTTTACGTTTTTTGAAAATGGCCTACTGGTTTTACTGTACGTTCACTGGATTTAAGCATATGTGGCTTATTTTTGCGAAACTACTAGAAGGAAAAGATTTTTTTAAAACAACCTCACACCGTAGAAAAGCTCCAATGCCTAATTTAGGAAGAAATCGTTGCAATCAAAATTTGTCAAAATATGGCCGAAAACTTTAAAAATTGCCTTCATTAATACATTATAATTTTGATATTATTTTCAAGACGTAATGCATATAGCGGTATAATGTATTGAATAAAATAATAAAAATCTCATTACTTTAAATTTCATGGTTTTTTTTTTTGTTTTTTAATAGATATTCAAAACTTTTCTGTCTATTTTGTCGCACCCTGTACAATATAGATATATATTAATATATAAATGTATTATCGGTAAATATATCTGCAAACCATTCTGATAACAAATAAAGGTTTTAAAGCCATTTATTACACTAGGGCGTAACTTCTAAATTGACATTTTCTAAAATTTAACTATTTATGTTCATCACCTGTAGTATACAATAAAATGTACGTACTTTGTCTAACACTCCTCATTATTCATTATTTTGCGTTCACTATATATATGATACATATTGAATAATTTGAAGGATTGAAAAAAAAAAAAAACTGATCGATTCTGGTAGTTATCAGCACGGTAAAAGTATAAATTAACATAGATCAATCCATTATAATACGAGTACTAATGGTATTAATATTATTATTAATCTACTCGTATAAATTACAGAAAACGATAAAAGTATAGTTTATAAATTATTTTTGTTTGGATTCATTACGGTCCGAGCATATATATTTATGGTAGTTGTGTACAAAGGTCACTGAAAAATTTCAACCGGAAGTACTCTTATTAACGAGAACAAATGTACAATCCCTCAGAGAAAATATCGACTGTCTTTTAGACGTGATGCGAGACTAAAAGTATCTAACTAAAAAGTTTTTCATTATTTTTAACTAGAAATGGACTCAAAAATAATCACCAAAAGAGAGCAGAAACTTAAATAATTCTATTTATTTCTTTTATCATCCACCATCGACGTAACAAAGTTTTGATGAAAATTCGTCATCAACTCTGTGATACATTCAATTTAATTTGTGCTGCATACCATTTTCTGGACGACTTGTTCCTTTTTTTTTCAATCCGCTTTCAGTGGGTCCACCTATCAATTCACGGGAATCGTTAAAAAATATAAAACAATCGCCGTCTTCGAACCGTATAAACTTCAATAATAAATTAATCGACCATTGATTGGATCGACATGCAAAACTGTTGAACTATGGTCGGATAATGAGTTCTTACACTATACAGAAATTTCAGTTGCAAAACGTTGTCAATCGAAAGTTTAACTGCTAACAGGGTGGAATATTTTTCAGAATACCGTTATCAGAAAACAATGAGTGGTACGGATGCAGAGAAAAAAAGACGTTTAAATTTATGATCCCTATGCACTTCTGATAGCTACACACCTATTAAAATTCGTAAACCCGATGTGGAATACACATGGCGTTTAATTCTAACGATGTTGGTTTTCGAAGGCTCTCAATGATTTATACGTTTTATTTCGTAATACGCGTTGTATGAAACAGCCCTAGTATCTCGTAATCGAAGTCGAGCATTTCAAGTTGTGTTATAGAAAAATTATTTAATAATATCCCTAATGGTAGAATAGGGTATTTTAAAAAGAACGCAGAATTTAAATCTGTTATAAATTAAATTTGTTTCTTTAAAAATTATTTTGTTTAATATTATATTATTTAATTATTTGTTTCTTAAACAAATATATCATTCTCTTCAGGATAAGTTAAGGTTTAACAGCGAAAAACAATATCGGACATATGACATCTTTCTACTAGCTCTACAGGCGATTATTCGTTCTATAAAATTTACCATCACTGGATAACACATTGCCCCATCAAGTTTGTTGAGGACAGGATGAATTTCTTGTTAAAGTTCCAAGTCATTTTGAACTTTGTTCTGAAAAAAACTCGTGACTTAAGTGTATCCCTAAGAAAAAATCACACAGCGTCAAGTCACAAGATCGAGGTGGGTAGCTTTGTCCATGCAACGAGATTAGTCTCTCAGGGAACTTCTCACGCAGCAAACGGATTGTTTCTCTCGAAGTGTAACAAGTTGAAATCAAACATTTCTGATTTTCATTTGGTTCAAATAAGGCCAAAGAAAATTGCTGGGCTCGGTAGGTGTTCTTGTATGGTTACAAAAGACGGTGCAACTT